AACCACATGGAGCCGGTCTAGCCAATCCATTGGTTTTTTATGGAGCCATCCGACCAAACCACCGAATAGAGAACCAGTCATAACCACACCACATAGAGCCGTCTGACCAAGCTACAAGTTAAAGTGGAGCTGTACTCATGGTTTAAAATTGCGCAATATGAGGCTCGCCTTTGCGCAATTCCAGTAAAAAACGCCTCGATGCTTACGCCTCAATTTTTTTTTTATGAGGCTTGCGCCTCAACTTGGTTGAGGCCCGCCTCGCCTCACTGGCATGAGGCTTACGCCTCACGCTATATATATTAAAACTTACATAAATCTTGAAGTAAATGCCCGACATTGGACTCTATAGGAGAGGAGGAAGGGGAGAGAGCAGTTCATCATAATGATGATTCAAATGAAGAACCCCTTAGTGATGACAATGTTGATGACTTATAAGTTCTTATGTGTTATATCATTGCTATTTATTTTTGGAAATTTGAATTATATGTTAATGAAAAGAATACTGGGATTTGGGAAAGATAGAATTTTGAGTTGAACTACATTTCATGTTGTCTTATTATTGGGATATTTTGATTTCACTTCATATCTTATGTTTTTTTATATTTTATATTATTCACTCATTAGTATATAAAAAATTTATCATTTTATGTTTACGCAATCTTTTGATTTTGAGGCTTACGCCTCAAAACGCCTTGAGGCTTATGCCTCGCCTCATGAATGAAGAACGCCTCAATACCCGAATACACAATTTTAAACATTGGCTGTACTAGCCAAGCCACTGGTTAGAAGACAATTCCACATCCTTACTGACAGATTATTATTTGATAATGAATATGAGTTATATTCTCGACTATATATTTGCTCTATGAGCTAAAGTTATCTTAAGTTTGTTGCCCTTACCAAACGATTGCGGAAGATGATGAGTTTTGTTTAAAGTTTAAGATAATTAATTTCAATTTTAAATATTAATATTTAGATAGGTATTGAGCTTTAGAATTTGGTGGGTTTAGAAAATTAATCCCATCGATTGTACATTCAACACAGTCATTATCGGAGTGAAATTAAAGTCATTTAAAAATAAGGTTTTGTTGAAGTTTAGAGGTATTTGCAAGTGTAGAATCCTCTCCGATTGAGATTAACATTCAACATGGCTATCATCGGGGACATTTAAATAGGTTGTATACTTATTATTTGAATCGTGTAATCCCTATCCGCTCATTAACAGGGGATCGGGTTCAATTACTGACATTGTGAGTTATTATATGAATGCTAAGAATCGAGAGCTTATAATTTTGTGATGAATTTCATTTAAAGACCTTTGAAGGCCTAATATGAACTTTAAAATTAAATATCTCGAAGATTTGTGATTATACTTTCGTTTGTTAATTCAAGTCACGTCGACTCCAGTTATTCGAAGGAGGATGAAACTTGAATATTTGACACGCACAGCATTCTCAAACCTTAATATTAGGAGCTCAATGTGGTGGTCAGAACACATGTAGGTATTAAATTCATGTGCACACTTTTCGAGGTACTGCCTTGCTTCTCGAGGCGATAGTATATTTCTTGGGGCAGTCACCTGCTTCCCAAGGTTGCTGCACACTCTCAGATGTGTCGGCAGGCTTCTCGATGTGACGCATTTAGATTTAGGAAATTTTAATTTAATACTTGAGGGGACACTTTAAAATATTTAAATATATTTTTTGCGTAGGTGATTATCATTGGAAAGTGTGCAAGATTTCATTAAAAATTCAAGAAATGCCTTATGTCCACTTGTGCGTGTGTTGTGGATCCAGTGGTGTGAAAGCGTATTAGTTTTCAGTTGTTGCATATAAGAGAGATATCATGTAGTTCATTTTGACTCCTTCAAGCTATCACTTAGCACAACTCGTAGAGGATGTTTGGTCAATAGGCTAGATATCGTTCTCTTGCTTATGAGTTAAATCATTTTCCACGAATCTCCTATTGTTGTTTGTAGGCCAGTTGTGCACACTACCAACTCCCTACTGCTCACATGTGAATTGTAGTGTGGTGCCATGGGTCACTTATTGCATCTTGTAGGTAGATTTTTGTGCAGTACAAGCTTCATCAATATTACCTATGGCAAGCTATATTCATCATAAGCCTACTACTTTCATCTGTTGGCGGACTGTCGTATGTATAACAAGTCTTCTGTTGTTGCACGTAGGTAAGCTATTGTATGCACTATGAATTCCCTATTGTCGCTCATAGGTGAATCATAGTATTCATCAAAGGCCTATTGTTGTTGCTTGTAGACGGTCTGTAGTGCACCCTACATATTTGCCTATGCATGTAGGCAAATTATCACATTCACCATGAGTCCCTTCTCCTCGCTCGTAGGGTCATGTCCGTTGTGAGTTCCCTATTTCTACTCTTAGGTGGACTGATGTGAGCATTACATGTCACCTATTGTTACCCATAGGTGGGCTGCATTTAGTGCAAGTCCTCTAATGTTGTTTGTAAGCGAGTTGTTATGTGTATTAAGAGTTCTTTTTCATGCTTGTAAGCAAGCTGCATCATCACTCATAAGTCTCCTTGCTTTTCACCAGTGGGCAGTCTGTTTTGTGTATCAAAAATTTAAATTGAGCACGTAGGTGGATTGATATGTTCATTATAGGTATCTCATCTTCTTCAATAAGTGGGTTGTCACACTTATTACAAGTATTCTATTCTTGTTCTTACTCGTAAATAGTTGTAGGTGAGCTGCCATTTACATTATATGTTCATTCGAAATATCACTTAGCTTTTTGATTTTGCAAATTGCATTTAATTTCATTCTAATTTTAGAATAATACTTTAGATCGAGTTCCCTGTAAGCTTGTTCAGTTTTAATTTTGAGTTACACCGCGGCCAATATATTTAATCCCATCACGCTACAAAAAGCGTGTATTGGTCTTTGAGGTACTTGCATGACAGCTCGCAAATTTCCCCGCAGGCATAGAAGCACGTATACGGGTTGTCCCCGCCACGCTATGAAAAGCGGGTATAGGGCCTGCGTGCTTCGCCGCTAATGTCACATTCAAACTTCCTCTTGCTATGCACTGAAAAGCATGTGCAGGGGGTTGCACGTTCCGCTGTAAACTTCGACAACATGATTTAAGTTTTAAGGTTTAGCAAGCATTATGCATTGCACTAGATAGACCACGATGACGACGTTGCGAGGAAATCAGCGAGGGAAATACACAATCTCTCTTACTCTCTCTTTTTTTTGCTTTCTGGTTTTTCCCTTTTTTTAACTAATAACACAATAATAATAATAATAATAATAATAATAATAAGATGGCTGATTTTGGTTAGGTGAGGATGCTGTTTGGCGGTAGATTAGAGGTGGTTTTGGGTGCTGTAGTAGGTGAAGGTTGAGGTGGAATGGGCTCTAGTTGCTTCAGGTAATTGGGCCTTGAATGAGGCTGTAAGTGTGGTTTACACAGTGGAGTAAGCTTGGTTGCTGTAGGTTGAAAGATGAGAGGCTGGTTTAGTTTGGGAGGTGATGGTTTCTGTGTGCTGGAGATCGGGTTGGTGGAGAGGGTAGAGTGGGCTTTGAACAGAGAAGGGAATGGCTGCTATGTATAGTTAGAGAAGTGTTGGGACTTGCTGGAATGATTTCAGTCGAGTGTAGGAGGAGAAGAGGGCTGTTTTGTATGCTTAATTGCAGTTTCACGTGAAAGGAAGGAGGTTGTTTAGTGAGTTGTGCAGGTAAGTGGAGAAGCAGCAGGTGGAGATGAGTTTGGTTTGGAGGTTGTAAGTGGAAGGTTAGAGTGATTTACTGCAGCAGCTATATTAGGGAAAAAGAATCTCCACATATGGCTGTTTGGACTGAGGTGTTGTGAGAGCTGAAGGAAAGTGGGGACTGGAGTTGGCCGATAATCTTATGCAGGTCAAGAGCAGCAGATAGTGGAGTGTATGAGGGCTGTAGGTGGCTGGGTAGGAAGAGAATGCAAAGGAGTTGGAAAAAGTGGCTAATGTTTAGTGGAGATCAGAGGGGATTGTTGATGTTCACGTGAAGCTGCTGCTTTAGGTATGAAGTATGAGGTGCTCTGTGGTTGTGTGGAATTGGGGTTAAGAGCAGGTAGTTGAGAGGAAGAAGAGGTAAGGGGCTGTGATGAGGAGATGGGACTTTTGAGAAACGTGCCAAGTGCACTGAAAATTATCTAAGTGCAACTTGCGAATGTGCTGAAAAGTGTGCACGCGCTTTAAAAAGAAAATTAAATTCCCGCATGTGATCTGACAAATGTGTTAAACCTTTGAATTTAGCATCTGAGAATGATGAGAGGGCTAAATTGAAATGTAAATTTAAATTTCAACTCCAAGTGTCCTCGAAAGGATTGGAGTTGACAAGAATGGAATTTATAACCAGATATGCAATCCTGAAATTCATTAAGAGATTCTGTTTTACATTCACATTAGACTTTTCAATTGCTTTTGAAATGAAATTCACTATAAAATGCGAACTTTTCAAGTTCAATGCTCACAACAATTCAGAAAATCTATAGTTGAATTTGATCTTCTGTTTGCGAGCAAACAAAGTTGATAGGGTTTATATAATGAAATAAAATTACCTAAAAACTCTGATGATGGCCATGATGTTAAAATTTTTTTGGGAATTCTGTTATGTAAGAGTAAGGTTGTATCCATCAACCCCCTCTTCTGACTTTGCATTGGTGAAGCCTGTTGCAATGGGTGCATGATGCGTGTGGTTGTTTTGCTCTTATAATAACATAATTGACAGTTTTTTTAATTTAATCCTAGTTGTATGATAACTTAAGTCATTTAATTTTCATTTCTCTTGTATATTCATTAGTTGCACATGCGATATTCACTAGCTCTTTTATTTTTTTCATTACTTTGGAGTTCTTTGGCATTTCTGTCATAGAAAGGGAAGCATTCGGTTGAGTAGATAAATTCACAAAAGATGGTTGTGGTGTTCAATTAATGTGTAATTTCTTTCGTGACACATAATCCGTATATTTCTTTCTGTGCAGGTTGAATTCATGATGGGAATTCTATCTCGTTTGGTTAGTCGACAGGTAATAAGTTCTCCCACCAATGCATGGTTGCTTTTGGACATTTTTTTCTCTTTCTTGCTGTAGTTTTTTTCTTAATCTTTATGTTGCCCGTTCTGATTCAGTAGGATTCTCATAAGTTTCGTATAATCATTATATTTTTGGCTACTTGGAATGTTTTCTCATCTATCAATGTATTAGCTGCTCTCTAATTTTTAAATGTTAAGAAAGTATTCATCTATTGTTATTCGAGTTATAGTACTTATTGTGCTGGATTTCAAGTTAAATCAGTTATTTTCTTATGATCATGCAGATTTGGAGGATGCCAAAGCTATGGGTTGGATTTTTGAAATGTGCTTCTCAGACAATGCCGCATTCATTTAATGTCCTGCTGCAGGTGGTTGCTGGTTTTTATATCTTTTATTCTTTTGCAAGCCCTTGTTTAAAAAGGATGTATAATTGTGCTTACTTTTGAATGCAGCTACCCACCCCACAACTTGAGGGTGCCTTAAATAAATATCCTGAAATGAGAATTCCTCTAGCTAGTTTTGCCAATCAGCCTAACAATAGAAGCTTATTGTCAAGGTATTTTCCTGATTTCATCACGTCGTCTTGTAGCACTTGAAATATTTTATTGAGGTAGTATGGCAGCACTCGAAATGTTTTATCGCGGTAGTTGAACGTTCATCTATCTGTCTTTCCTCTTGTATTTCCATTATCTTTGTAAATAGAAGCTAGAAGTGTTTGCATTTTAAAGATGTTACAGGAAATCTCTGGGCTATGGATGCTGCATTGAGTGTTTGTTAGTGTTTGATTATTGAGCAGGATGTTGGTAAACTCATCCTCTTCTCTCATCTCCTCTTCGTTTTTTTTACAATCAACCTTTCTGGTTACAAATCGCTACAGGGGAGGCCTTCCGTGAGATATTTCATGGAAAAGTTTTATCACTTTATTTTCCATCTCCCATATCTAGCATTTGGAATCAACTGTAAAGATAAACTTTGAATTACTACAACAACAACAACAACATCAAGCCTTTATACCGCTACATCAGATCGGCTACATTAATTATTTTTCTCCATTGTGTCTTGTTAAGAATCAAATTCTCATTTTAATCTAATAAAGAAAGGTCATTTCTAATATTTTCTAAGTCTTTTTAGGTTTGTCTCTACCTTCCTTAAAATAAGTCAAGTCTAATACATCTACTCTCCTAACTAGGTCATTGGAAGGCCATCGTTTTATGTAACCAAACCATCTAAGACTACTCTCTCCAGCGGCGGAGCCACAATTGGGGCACCAGGGTCACGTGCCCCCACTGGCCTAAAATTTTTTTTTAGTTCATGTTAAATTAAGATATTTTTATTTGTATAAAAAAATGTGATACATACCTATAGATAAACCGCCCGGTTGCCTAAGTTCTGTCTCTTCCCACTCTCCACTCCATCTCCTTTTTCTTTTCTGCTACCCCTCTTCTCCATCATTATCTTCTCCGGCAATCCACCATTCTCCATTTGTCACTCGCTTGCTCTCTCTTCTTTACATTAGCTTCACGGACCGATAAGGCAAGGGTTGAAGAAGTTTAATGACTGGAATGCCCTTCATATTTAAAATGGACAAGAAAGGTTAAAATGAACTTGTTGAGTTAGAAAAATCTTAATTTGTTATCATTAAAAATTAATATGCATACATATATAAAGAAAAAAAAAACATATGTTAGAAATTTTATTTTTCCTAAAATTAGCAGCTAAATATTTATAAATGAAATAAGTTAATTATAATTTATGTGTAACAACTAATAGAATATATAGGATTTTAAATTTTATTAAAAATAAATATGAATATTCTTAAAAGATAAAAGTATTATTTTACTATAGACTGTTAAATAGAAAGATAAAAAAGCTACTAAAAAATATTAGGACTATATTAAAATTGATCAATTTGTTCCCCCATTGATGAAAATTTCTGACTCCGCCCCTGACTCTCTCTTATCTTATCTTCCACTGGAGCTACTCCAAACTTTTCACGTATATGCTTGTTTCGTATCCTGTCTCTAAGAGTAATGCCACTCATCTACTTGAGCATCCTCATCTCTGCAAAGCTTAACTTAATATTATACTTCTCTTTTAATGGCCAACATTCTGCACCATAAAGCATTGTAGGTCTCACCACAATCTTATAGAAATTTTTCTTAAATTTGAGGGGGACTTTTCTATCACACAACAAGCCCGATGCATTCCTCTATTTCAACCATCCAACTTGAATTCTACTAATACACTATCACTCTAAACAATAGACCCAACATATCTAAAATGTGTATTCTTATATTAGATTTAATCACCCAAAGTCACAATTCCCCCACTAGTTCTATTACTACTAAAATTACATTCCATATATTTGGTTTTAGTTCTACTCAAACAAAACCTTTAGACTCTAAGGTTGACCTCCATAATTCAAGTTTACCTTCAACTCCCTTTCTAGCCTTATCAACAAGAAGAATATCATCAGTAAAAGGCATACACCAGGGTACAACCTTTAGTGAGAACATCCATGATCAAAGCAAAAAGATATGGGCTTATGGCCAATTCTTGATGTAATCCAACTGAAATAGGAAAATACTTGGTCAAACCACATTGCGTTTGAATGTAAGTAGCAGCTCCTTCATACATATCCTTAATGACTTGAATATAAGCATTATTAACCCCTTTCTTTTCTAGAACTCTCCATAGCATTTCTCTTAGAACTTTATCATATGCTTTATCTAAATCAATAAATATTATATGTAGATTTGTCTAATTCTCTCTATACTTCTCCGTCAAACCAGTCATTAAATGTATAGCTTCCATAATAAACCTACCTGGCATGAATCCATATTGATTTTGAGAACCATTAGTATAATGTCGTAACTTATGCTCAATAACTCTCTCCTATAATTCTTAAGTATGACACATTAACTTAATTCCTTTATTATTTGCACAATCTTGTGAATCACCTTATTCTTAAAAATAGAAATCAACACTCATTCTCCACTCATTTGACATCTTTTTAGTGTTCAAAATAATATTTAAAAGTTTAATAAGTTGAGAAATTCTTTCATCCCCTGAGCATTTTCACACTTCTATTGGAATATCATCAGGCCCAACAGTCTTTCCACACTTTCTTTTCTTTAAAGCATGTGTAACTTCGATTTTACTAATACACCGATATAAATAAAAATCTTTATTTTCATTTACGGTACTAAGGTCATCAATTATATTCTTACAATCTTCATTGAAAATGTTAGTAAAATATCTCATTCATCTTTGTTGAATATCTTTTTTTATAAAAGCAATTTTTTAATCTTCATCCTTAATGCACTTCACTTGAACTAAATCCTTACTACTCTTTTCTCTTTTTTTGTCTAACTTATGCATATACATTTCGCTCTCCTTATGCCTAATCTATTATATAAATCATTAAAAGTTAAAATCTATCGCATAAATCATTAAAAGCTAAAAAGATATTAACAATTACAAAATCATAAGCTATAGCAAAATCTAATATAGTCTTACCACCTTCATTAGTTACTCTAAACTCGCAGCCACTATGAATGCTTTTAAAATCATCTATTTCTCTACCAAAATGTCCATTTAAATATCCTCAAATAAAAGCTCTTTCTTTAAGAGATATCTTTTGTATTAATTATTCTATGTCATTCCAAAATTTTAATTTTGGACACATTTTTAAACCTACTTGAGAAGCATAAACACTTATATATTAATATTCTTAGCATCAACATTAATATTTAAAGCTATAATTATATCTCTAATTCTATTAATTTGTACAACATTATCCTTCAAATTCTTCTTTATAATCACACCTACACCATTCTAGTACGACTCATACCAGAATATCATAGTTTAAATCATAAACTATCAATCTACTTATTTTTTTAAGTTCCTCTCCTAATTTTAATTTCACAAACTACTTTGCCCACATCCGTCCATGATGTGAGAACCTTTGCCTATTTAACACAATGTGTTATTGGATTCATGTCTTGGTTATTCGATAAGTTTTACGCTGGCTGTCAACTACTTAACGTAACATTATATTTTTCTCATCCAGGACTTAGGACCTGACATCCATGAGATCATGAGATGTGAGTGAGAGAAATGAAATACTAGAAGGGAGGTTTTAGTTAATATATTTTATTAATATTTGTTTTTAAAATTCAACTTAAACCCTAAATATGAACGGTACAAGTCCTAAATTTTGAGGTGAGGTGCATCTTGAGGCGTATCTCACATGAGAGGCCATGTGGCACATGCCTAATGGTAACATTTCTTGAAAAGACACATCTCTTATTACATAATTTTAAATAATAGTCATACTAGCATACATACTTGCTATTCCTTTGAAAAATACAAAATAAACCAATGGATGCTAGGGGTATTATAGCACATATCCCTTAGGCTATCTTGCTCGTTTAGGTGCTTTCTTTTAACAATATTTCTTAGTAAATCTAACATAATTAATGTGTCGCGCCTCAATACTAATATGATGATCTTCTAAAATCAAAGGATGAAAATACCTCAACTCAGTTGGAATTATTTCACCTACAACCACTGAGGTTAGGGACAGCATAAAAAAAGTTTTTGCATTTTTTTTTTTGTCCAACATTAATAAGTGCCCATGAGGCCTTCCAATGAGCTGGTTAGGAAATTGGAGGTATTAGATTTGACTTATGTTAAGAAAGGTAGAGGTAAATCTAAAAAGACTTGGTTAGAAAATATTAGAAATGATCTTTCTTTATTAGATTTAAATGAGAATTTGACTTTTAAGAGGACACAATGACGAAAAAGGATTCATGTAGCCGATCCCACGTAGTGGGACAAAGACAAGTGAACATCACTGAAACTGAAGAAGTCAATGTACCCCAAGCAAGATTCTGAAAATAGAACTCTAACTAAATAGAAAAAATGAAGTTTTCAACTCAAATCGGCTTCAAGCATTCATACCAATGTTTCCGAATTTTAGGTATAGGTGTTGTTGTTGTTGTATTAATAAGTGCTCACGAAAGATGCTTGAATATGTTATTAAATATTAAGCCTGATATAACATATCGATCAACTAGTTCCTAAATAAACAATGTACACTTTAATCGAATCCAAACATTAAGTTTATATAGGTATAATAGCAAGAACACTAATATTACTCCAAGTAAATAAATAAATTATCAAGTTAGTGAATCAATCAATCAATGACATGCTTGAAGCAGCAAGTTACATGAATCTCACAAGAAATGTCATCGCCATATTCTCATACATAATAAGGCTATAAGGAAACAAAACCATCACATCTGATGTTTTATCACCTTTGGAAGAAACTACTATTCATTTTGTCCTTAAAATTCATTGAAGTACTAGCATCATTTTGATGCTTGAAAGGAGAGATTATTCTGTGCAGATGTCGAACACAACTCTACATTCCAATACCAATCAAAATGAGCCACGTCAGTCATATCGAGCCGTTGGCTTAGGCATCCATCCGGATGGGGTTCCGCTTCTGCACAGAATAATTTTTCGCTTGAAAGTGGATTGATTAAATGAGTATATATCCCTTATTATTCATTAAAATGCAACCTTGTAATTGATGTGATCTTCCATATCATTTCTGCAAGTGGTGCCAACTATTGTGATTCTAACAACTGATGCTTTTTGCATGCAGGCAAACTCTTGGGATACTAGGCCTCAGTCCTGAGCAATAATGAGCTACCATGAAATTGCAGTATTTCACCCATCAGATTCGTGCTGTACTGACCGATTTAATAACCTGGCAAGACAGCTATGATTTGAACCATGAAAAGTGCTTTTAAGTTCTCCAAAGAATGTTCCAAGTGAGCTGCAAGGCATGGATGCAATCAATAGCTTGGTATAGTCACCAGGTTTGCCAAGGAACCATCAATCATCAGCACTGCCTTCTGATTACAACCATTCTATGAGGCTCTACTCGGAATAGTTTCCTTCAGTTATTCCCCATTCTGATCAGAATTTGAGGGAATCCTCCATTGGTGTTTACCAGTTGATGTATATGTATCATTTTGTAATGATTGTTTCAATTTTTCTTTTAGAAATAGTTTGGTATCTATGATTGAATATCTTATATTCTCCTTTTTTGTATAGTAGCTATCATAGCCTGGTGCTTTGAGTCAGAGAATAGGGCATCTTTTTTAATTGAGGAATATTGTAAACAGTGTATGTCTGTGATAATTACACAAAGCCGATGTTCATTAGGCACAAATGTACTATTTCTTAGCCGGGCTGTGATAGCTTGGAACTTAGTAAGAAATGACTTGTGCATTTTAGTAAGGAATGGCTTTTGAATCACTCGGAAACTTTTATAAATCCTTTTGTTTATGAAGATTTACATACATATCATTTTATTTTATGCTATTTACATATCTAACATTTAAAATATTAATATTACATACTTATCATCCAGAAAACAAATATGGGTGCATGAAATGAAATATTAAAATTTATAGGATGGTATCGAGTGGTATGAATGAAATGATATATTTGATATTAAAATTATGTATTGGTGATAGACATATAATATTAATATTTTGAGTTTTAGATGTGTAAATAACATAAAATAAATTGGTATGTATGTAAATCCTTCAATTGTTTATAAATTTTAAAGGGTTGAACATGTGATACCTTAGGATTATTTATAAGTGATTAAAATGTTATTTATTCATTGCTGTTTAATTTTATTTGATGATAAAATTTATATTACATTTATTAATCTTAAAATAAATTCAAAAATATTTTAATTTATTATGATAATTTTTTATTATATTATTTAAATTTAAAATTTTAATACAAAATTGGATGGATCTATAATAATACTTATAAAACAATAAAAAAGATTAATTATGATCCTATTTTAATAACAATAATAATAATATATCGATACGAAAACAAATGTTTGTTGGGTACTGGGTTAGCTTATTTTATTCATTTATTATTGGGACTAGCACAAGTTAGGCAACAACAAAATAAATTTATTAGCACTAAATCAATTAATACTTTTTTTATTTGCGCCTTCAGATAATTTAGAAAAAGTTTATAAGTAAAATGCACAATATTTTTTTAATTAAACGAGTTAAATATAATTAAATTAGAATTGTGTATAAAAATGTGTATAAATGGAGTCAGCATATTATCCTTAAAAAATATAGGAATTATTATTCTTATGTAATTTATACTATTTAAAGGATAATATCCTACCTACCTAATAAAGTAATAAACTCAAATGAGTAAACATATATGAAGTTCAATGCAGCTCAATTACATTAGTGTGTAACATTAATGTATTATTTGGGATAATTTTTTTACTGTTTTGTAACATTATTTTTAGTATATATATATTTTTTAATAATAGGAAAAAAAATAGTGATATAAAATTGTCACAAAAGAAGCTTAAAAGCAACGATAAACTTTGCTAGTGTGTCGAAACTTTTCAATTGCAGCTCATTTTGATCTGTTGATTGAGAGCTTTGATTATCAACCAAGAAGTCTTGGGTTCGAATCTCTCATATATATTATGTCTCATATATATTATGTGTATGAATTTGTCTTAATTGACCTAAATATTCTAAAAAAAAAACTTTTCACTCGATGACAATTACATTAATGAGAAGCGTGCATTTCTCAGGCCATACCGTTAAGCCTCAGAATTCGTTGATTTCAGAACCAATTCCTTGAGTTCAGGCATTTTGCTCTCTAAATACTCCTTTTTGCTTAAAATCCTGTCCGCTGTGCAATCTTCTTCCTATTTTAGCAAAAGTAGTAGTTAGCTGAGGAAGATGAACAGATCATCAATTAAGAAAAGTTAATATCAACTTATCCAATGCCTTAAAGGGGATACAAACATGTCAATCTCGAAGGATTCAAAGAAAATTTAATTGGGGTTAAAACTGATGATGTGATCAAAATGAAATTCATTTAAATATTAATTAAATGGCATGTTAATGATACAAAAACATGATAAAAAATAAAGAGACTATTTCATGAAATATAGATCATATACAATAAATATCCTCTTTTGTTCTCTGGTATTTTGAGTACTGTGGGCTCCTGCTTTTTACCCAGCTTGTGGAGAAGTATTCTGTGCGGACACCGGACAGTCCGGTGGCCAAGTAGAATGTGTCATGTCACCCGATATCCAGCGGTACCCAGCATCGATACCAAATAAAAAAGTAACGTGACACGTTCTAGTTAGCCTCCAGATGACATTCAGTGTCCTCACAAAATAATTTATACAGCCTCTGAGACAGTTTATTATCACTGCCCAATTTTTTCCCTTTCATGTATTCTTCACTACAGTAGTTGTCTACAATTGCTAGAGTCGATGCTAGAGTCTTTGCCTCAATTTCATGAGGCTAATGATTCGGTTGCTAGTTATATCCTTCTTTGTTACCTTATACGACCTAACCAGCTTCCTTATCTACTGATTTTTGTCATTCAACTAATTAATTTCATCTAATATCGATTATGGCACAGTAGCTGGGGCTAGGAATTTCTTGGAAATTTCTAGAAACGGGATTTCAAAGAGGGACAATGTTTTGCTGAAACTAAGGTTAGAAACCACTTGCTGAAATTCAAATGTGTTAAATAAAAAACTAGTGGTATTTGATCAGATTTTGGAAGATTCTAGACTTTTTATTTAAAATGAAATTTCAGAAAAGTGTACTTCTACATTAAGTAATTTCATGGAAATATCATATCTGTAAATGGCAAAAATAGAATTGCTAAATTGTAAAAGCAGCTTCGTATTGTTGCTATCTGTTTATTGAAAATAGGGTAAAAATACTCACATCCTCAGTCGCAGCAGATTGCAATGCTGAAAGAGTAACTGTTGCTCTATGGTAATCCATCAAGACCTTAAATGTTTCTTCCGGCAATTTATCCTGTATTTGCAAAATTAGGAACTAGCACATAAAACAAAAGGTGAATTACAGGTAAAATGCAGAAAATTTTTAGTACCCCCAAGTAAAATCATCCTAGTATGTTCATTATATTGACTTGAAACAAGGCCTATGATTTGTACCTGAATATCATCGAAGTGCAAAATAACTTGTCAAAAAAATCACCGTCTTTACTCCCAAAGAATAATCTCTGTAACCCACCAACAATAACATGGAAGCTGCCCCCATCCCCCTCTCCCCCTCTCTCTCTCTCTCTCTCTCTCTCCTCTTTTTTACTCTCTTTATCTCTCTGTCCTCTCTCACTTTCTATGTATCTCCCACCACTTCCTCTCACTCTTTCTCTCTATCTCCCAACCCTTTCTCTCTTTCTTTCCGTCTCTATCCTAACTCTCTCTTTCTCACTTCCCCTCTCACTTTCTCTCCCCCCCCTTCTACCTCTCCCCTATAGACCACTAATCCCACCTCACGCACACAACCAGACCCGCACGAGCTACTAGCCTGTTTAACTCTCCCTACCGCTCCAATCGGACCCACTCACGCAATTGCTCCCAAACAACGCGACCGAACAGACACGGTCGTTCACTTCCTCAAAACTACACACAGGAGAGTTGGATATTTAATTGCACTCTTACGAATGCACGAACGATCTGCTTGCCCCTAGCATCGCTTTCATCTCCCTCGAAGCACGCAAGGAAACCTCCAACCCGTCTACTCTCTCATCTCTTCATGTCATTTCAATTGAACAAAGTATATATACATATGTCATTTCAATTGAACAAAAAAAGGAAAAAATATAGAAGAATCGATTTCATTAAGAAGCAATATCAGCTATGCATAATGGAATTATCACTACTCCCGACTTTACATCACCTGTGCAAATAGAGAAAAGGTGGGTAATTAAGTTTGATATCATGTAGCACTTTATCAAGGACTGTTGGAGGATGAAGATTCATCAAGCATACAACAAACAGTCGTTTAAAAAAAAAAACTTTTTCTAATGATAAAGATAACAATCAAGTAGCACTTGATATGTAGAGCAAAGAGACAAATAAATCAAACAGGATGACGTAATTTCAATTTTTGATACTGGGTGTTAAAAGCTATAGTTGATTTAACTATCAAGCTAAATTACAAGTTTTGATTGCAAAATCCAAGAGTGTACAATATATGTCTTGATTTATGATTGCATAAGTATGATGTTAAGGTAAAGCTGTGCTATGGAATTATTTGAAGGAACACTAATTAAAGTTATACGTTCAATTGGCACAATATATGATGTATGCAGATCAGGTCCTATATGTTGTTTGTATGGACAATCCTCCTGATCTAGAAAAAAATAATATAATAAGGACCAAAGCTAGTGTTAAGTTACCTAAAGGGCTAATCATGTCCATAGCTCAGTAAGACTTTACACTCAAATAAATAGCAAAATTGCTCATGCTAGTCTCAAATCATAATACAAGTGTATTATGAATATATTGCAAGTGTAAAATACTTTATACCACGATAATGTGCAAAATGCATTATGTAAAATATAGCAAGATGTATTATGCAAGGTCGAATGTGTTGTTGTGCAAGTACAATGACTAAAATATGAATGCATTATTTAAATGATAATGTATTATGCATAGGCAAATACAAACATATCATGCAAGAGCAAAAATGGAAAATACATTGTATGTGTATAAGCATCAATCAACATGTTAACCTCGTTACGCAAATATACTAAATTATGTACCACATGTGCTCCGATCGCACATTTAATTCCTAAATCTAAAGGTCTGAAAATGTTGCGCAGGTTAAATATTCAAGTTTTATCCTCTTCCTTGAAAAGAACTGGAATCGACATAACTTGAAATAATTAATGAATGTTAATCACAAATCTATTGTAAGTCTCCAAAGTTCTCTAGATGAAACCCATCATAAAACAAAAGCCTTAGGTTTTAGCATTCACATAATTATTAATTGATAAACCCAATCCTCTATTAGCGGACGAACATAATTAATAAAGTTCAAATAACTATTATTTAAAATTTCGATAGTGGCCTTGTTGATAGAAAATCTCAACCAGAGGGAATCCCATATTTTCAATATGCCTACTTTATGAAATATTAACATTTAAAGTGATTTCAAAATCACCCCGATGATGCCCGTGTTGAATGTAAATCACAATCGGATGGGTCAATTATCAAAGCTTATTTCAAATCTAATATCTTAAATTCTAAACTTTTAAATAAAAATTTAATCATAAAAACTTAAAACTAAAATCTATCCGCCTTCCATAACCGTTTGTCGGAGGTTATAATTTTGAAACTAATTTCAGCTCACAATGAGCAAATGTCATGTCGGATATATCACTACGATTTACTCTCAAATAATCTCACTAGCACGGACATGGCTCATGCTCTCGAATCAGGTAGTTTTGCTGCCAAATGGTGTCACTATATTACGATTATAGACAAAGCCCGTATATTTTCTAATGACTTCAAATCCTTGAGTAATGAATCATAGGATATACTTGATAGACATAAAGCTCTTTTGTCATCTAAGGTGGACTTAAATACATCCCCTTAGACAAACACCACCCCAAGTCTATGAGAAATTTTTGGACAAAGCAACCCATGGCTGTTGTTAAGGTTCTTTCTGTCAGGTTAGGTCAACTACCGCCTCTAACTAATCAGACTAGGAACCATAACAGTCTGGGATGACGGAACCATGGGATCTTGATCGAGCCTGTCTTCATCCCCCCATCACCCATTTTAAGCACATGGTGATAAATTTCAAATCTTAAGCTCCAAAATTCAAAATCAAATTCAAATCTTAAAATTGTTGCTACTATATAATGGGTACACAGTGCCTATCTCATGACTATTCTTAATTGAAAGTTCTCTCGCTATCGGGAGGGATAATTAACTATAAGGGCTTGCGTCTATAGAAAATCATAACTCATATCATGAAGTTCTCACAAAATGAGGGCAAAATCGGAGTAATGTCTTATCTAAAACTCAATCTGCCTTTTGAAAATTTACTCGAAACTTACATTCGTTAAAACTCTCTCCATCAATAAAAGAAGTCGTAGAGAGGCCGGGGCGCAAATTTTCGGAGCCCACATCCCCCTTTCTCCTTTCTCTATCCAAAATGACAAAAATATAGAAAGAAAAAAAAGCAAAAAAAAAAAATAGAAGCAAAAAGAGGCAAAAATCCGTAAAAAAAATTTATATTTTCACTCTCACCGCAAACTCGTCATTGCATCGTTATCATCGCCTACCTCACACAAAGGTGTAAACTTGCAAAACACAAAATTCTTCAAAACCCCAAACGCAAAAAGTTCGGTGAATCGGGGAAACCTATGCATGGTTTTTTTAGTACGGTGCTGATGGTGACGTTCGCCATGTAATCGATATATATATATATATATATATATATATATATATATATATACACACACACACACA